CACATACATACACACACACACACACACACACACTCACATATACACACACACACACACACACACACACACACACACACACACACATTTTAATAACTGATTTAAGCTGGGGTTTATCCTAATAAATACAGTAAATAAGTGACGCCTCGTTAGCTCCCCCTGCTGGAGCATCTGCTGAAGTACAGCTGTGTCTTGTGCGCCTGCGCAGTAAGTCATCACGAGTTGTGGGCGGGGTTTGTTTGAGCGGCTGCGAGGCGAGCAGCATCAGATCCGCTGCGAGTGTAGATCGGTGTGTGAGTCTCCGATACCCCGCAAACCGCTCAAAATAAACCCGGGGACACGTTAAAGCACATATACGGCTGCCTCTCCGCCGGGAGAGGAGGAGGAGCAGCGGGAGGTTTCGCTTCCTGGACAGCCTCTCCGCGCGGGGGGATCGAGCCGGGCCATGGCGCGGGACTATGATTACCTCTTCAAGCTGCTCATCATCGGCGACAGCGGTAAGGAAACACCGAGGATGAGACGGGAAGCAGGCCTCGGCTCGCCTAGAGCGACACGCACATGAGCCAGAACACTTCAGATGGGCTGTTTGTGCTGGATACACGCGTAACTCTTCTGCGTTGATTAATTTGACAGCTTATAAATGACATTGGATGAGGTCGATAGGGATGTTGTTTCGCTTTAGCTCATATAATGGGCCTGTCAACAGTTTAGAGTAACGTTAATACAGTCTGGCTGTGTTCTGAAATTCTTCTTATTGTCTAATAAAGTAAAATATTAATATGTTATGTTGCCTGGCATATTAGTTGAACTGTCTGTGACAGAATCGATGTATAAGCAAACTAAGTTAGATGCATAAGTTGTGGGATTTACTGTCATTTTCAGCCTGGGAGCTGTTTATTTAATGTTGGGATGTTGTACTGATATATTATTAAATAAAAGGGAATAAAATAAATCAATAAATAATATTTAAATTAAGTATTAAAAAGTAATGCAAATGTGTGTGTGTATATATATATATATCGATCTATATATATATATGTTTATATATGCTTTTATATATATATATATATATATTATGCATATATGAATATACATATGCATATATATATATATATATACCCACACACACATGTATATATATATATGCATATAATGTAATTATATAGAAAGTGAATGACTATAAAAGTATAGGAACTAAGTGAGTTACGACCACAGAGCTTATGAATGTTGTTCGGTGTGAAGCTGTAATATTTTTCTTCTGTTCTTCCTCAGGTGTTGGCAAAAGTAGTTTACTGCTGAGATTTGCTGATAACACATTTTCAGGTAGGATCAACACGTCACATGTGCTTTTAACAAACATTAACTGTGAAAGACGTACGTAGGGTTCGTAGTTATAGAAGCCAGAGTCACTAAAACTGATTCTCTGTCACTCGTGTTGTATATGATCTGAGCTGCTGACTTCTACAGTCCTGCCAATAGTTGCACAATACTTTAACGCTGGTTGATGTTGCAAAGGTTTACACACATTTGCAAAATAAGAGATGCATGAAGAGGTTCAGGAGGGTTACGTTTATTAGGGCTGCACCGAAATGAACTGAAGCCAAAGAAAATTAAACACTGGGCTGAATGTATTTTGATCTTTTTTTCACCATTGCATAAACTAAATAGCCAGAATGTGCTTTTTTTGTTTTGCTTTTCAAAGAAAAATACAACACTTTGAGCAGCAGATCAGCATATTATACTGATTTCTGAAGATCATGTGACACTGAAGACTGGAGGAATGATGCTGAAAATACAGCTGCACATCACAGAAATACATTATATTTTAATGTATATTAAAATAGAACAATGTTATTTTACATCATAATAATATTTCACAATATTCCATATATTTGTGATCAAATAAATGAGCAGAAGAAGAAGAAGGCGTACTTATGAGAATAAAATCAGCAGCGTTTTAGCTGCGCTCTCCATTTCTGCTTAGTTCACGGAGCGCTTTGTGATTTTGATGCTGGTTTGTGTGTCGTTGCAGGCAGCTACATCACCACCATCGGCGTGGACTTCAAGATTCGCACGGTGGAGATCAACGGGGAGAAAGTCAAGCTGCAGATTTGGGACACAGCGGGACAGGAGAGATTTCGGACGATCACCTCCACGTGAGTGACGCATGCATTACACCGATCCTGTCTCCTATCTAGGATGCTTTCTTTCTGACAGGTTTCAGAGCAGCATTGCATGCATCCTAATGAACTGAACTCAGACACGGTTGTGAGTCGAGTGTCCCTGTGTAGAGCCTTCCAGTTTATACACTTATGCTGTTCTTACTCCTTTAGGATGCTGCACTAGAACAATGTAGACGGATCAGAGAAGGGTATATCATTAACCTAAACAAAACTGAAATTGCTGTATGGCTTACTGCGAATGTGACCCTGGAGCACAAAACCAGTCATAAGGGTCCATTTTTAGAAAAGGTGTGCTGTGATTGGCCAGCTATCCAGTGTGTTGTGATTGGCCGAATACCTCAAGCGTGTGACGGAAATGTTACGCCCCTCACCATACTGTGATGATGCCCTGTCCGGCCGGAGCGACGAGACAAAAACATTAAAACCCATTATAAACGAGGCATTCGTTGCATTCAGTGAGGACATATTTACGGATTATAATGACTTATACTGTCTTTTTACACGTTGCGTTGCATTGCATTGCATCGTGCCGGGTAAACATAAAACCATGTCTGCATTTGTGATCGGAGAAATGAAAAACAACAAGCCCTACTCTACACTGCCCAAAAAACTCGCTTTAAATATATAAAAGCTATTTTTACTATCTTCCAATCTGTGAGTCAGAACAGCCGGCATTGTAGTCTACTCTCCCAGGATCAGGACACAGTCCTCCATAAAATGTGCTGCACACATCTGAATATTTGGGTTGAAGTGTTCTGGAACAGTGTTGTAAATACAACTTAACCACTGATTTCTAGTCGTGTCCTCTTTTGGAAGACCAAACAAAGTAGTTTCGCTTTCACAACGAAACACACAGTGCCTTCACGACATGGCGGCGGCAGCAACAATACTACAGCGAGAATCAAAATTACGCCTTCTTTCTTTGCGTGAACATTTGTGTGGCGTAATGCAAATCTTCCACATTGTGATGTAGACATGTGGGGGCGTGTTAGAACGAGGCGTTTTAGGTAGGCGTGACTGACTCTTAACTTTTATAACTTTATAAAGACTATCATTTGAGACTTTAGTCTTTGCAACTTTACAGATCTTCTTTATGCACCAAGAGCTTGCAACACTCCAAAGAGAAAGGAACAACTTGAAATCGCATCATATGACCCCTTTAAAGTGAGGCGTGTTGCAGTGGTAAAAGTGATCTGTTTAGAGAGTGATATCTGAATGATGTGGTCTCACACAGTAGGTTTGAAAGTGTCTTGTTTCCTCTTTCAGACGGCGGAAACCGCAGGTTAAAGCCGCTTTCCTTTAGACACTTCATACATTCAGTTTCAATGTGCTGAGCGGTGCGTGACGAGAGCATGTTTGACTTCACGCTTTCCAAGACGTGTTTCATGTGCTCAGACAGCGTGAAGATTGAGGGAAACTTGTATCTTTAAATCTGATCAGTCTTTGAAGTGCGGTTTTAAAGAGTAGTTATTAAATTCAAACCCATGCTCTTGAAATCGCATCATACGAACCCTTTAAAGTGAGGCGTGTTGCAGTGGTAAAAGTGATCTGTTTAGAGAGTGATATCTGAATGATGTGATCTCACACAGTAGGTTTGAAAGTGTCTTGTTTCCTCTTTCAGACGGCGGAAACCGCAGGTTAAAGCCGCTTTCCTTTAGACACTTCATACATTCAGTTTCAATGTGCTGAGCGGTGCGTGACGAGAGCATGTTTGACTTCACGCTTTCCAAGACGTGTTTCATGTGCTCAGACAGCGTGAAGATTGAGGGAAACTTGTAGCTTTAAATCTGATCAGTCTTTGAAGTGCGGTTTTAAAGAGTAGTTATTAAATTCAAACCCATGCTTTTGTGGAAGACTAAAAATGTTTATTTTACAGAATGATATCAGAATCTCAAGATTAATCTTTTAGCCTATGCTTTTTAGTTTAATGCATGAATAAAATTATTTTAAACGTTATTTGTAGCATCCCCCTTATCCAATAATTACATTGAATTTTTTTTGGAATTTAATAAAATTAAATAATATGTATTTTATTTTTGTTAAAAAATACATCGGTCAGTTTTGTCACAAAATCAACACAATAAATGAGTTTTAATTATCACATCAATCAATATATCGCAAATTACAATAAAGCAACTAATTTTATTAATTTTTACTGTTAATTTTAACCTAATATAATATTAAATATTAATATTAAAATAATTCAAAATGAATTGAACCCAAACTTTTTTTTATTTGTTTGTTTATTTATATAAATTTTTTTAGCTTTGCTTTGGTGTCCACTGCAGAAGAGACTCTGTGCGTAATTTTTTTTATTTTCTATATTTTTGTAACTACTATTATTTTGTAGCAATTTTTTGGTGAAATTGTGAAGCCCTACAATTAAATAGAATATATATATATATATATTTAAAATCACATTCACAATCTTATACATTTAATGTTATACATTTATTATTAAAATAATATTATACACTTTATAAAACAACATATTTCCAAACGAATCGAGATAAATTAAATCAAATTCATGAAACCAAATTGCTTGTTTATTTGAATTTTATTTTCTTGTTCTTTGCTTTGCTGTTCACTGCAGAAGAGGCTCTCTCACCAGTTATACTTATTTCTATATCGTTATAATCATTATGATATTTTGTACATATATTGTCCTGTGTTTTAAGGCTGAGTTCCAGCTTGAGCTTCACAAAGGCTGCTGGCGATACGCTCTTCTATTAGAATAAGTGAATTTCAGCTCAGAAACGGCCTCTGTTATGACCCATGGGGGAAAAAATCATGCTTTAAACCTGCTAACGCTGTGTGTTCTGAACATGAGTGATCCTCAAATCATGAAGACGAACGTTTTGACGTAGGACCTGATGATGTGTGCCTCGAGAAAAGTCACCTCAGACAACCACTTCCTGTCAGTGATGTCAGCCGCAGGAAGTGAAAGAGTCACGGGTCACAAATCCAGTCTCGTTTAGAATTGATTGCTCGTTGCTGGAGTCTAGATGGCCCTTTCACATTTTCAGTGCTGATTTTAGGATGAAATCTGGATTTAAACATGGTAAAATGTGTTAAATGTGTTAAACTATGGGTCAATGAGAGCATGATGAGATTATCTAAAACTTAAAGGGGTCATATGATGCGTTTTGAAGTTTTGCTTTCTCTTTGGAGTGTTACAAGCTGATTGTGAACAGATAATTGAGCTAAAATATGTTTCCCAGAGATTTTAAGTTAAATATTTCAATAATAAAAAATAAAAAAAGTGACTTTGCTCACATGACATGAAGGTAAACTAATAAATATATTATTATTTATATAAAATATTTTAGTGTTTTATTTAAAATGGTTTTGTTTTGACAATATTTTATTTTAATTGAGCATTTTTGTATGATTTAATTAAATTGCTTAATGGTTCTTTAAAGTCTTAAAGCGACAGTTGAATGTTTTGTTCCTTAAGCAGGTTTTCTTGTCCTAGTGTTACACTTTAACTCTTTCCCCGCCATTGACGAGTTATCTCGTCTTTTACAAGAAAACGCTTCCGAGTTTTACGGCTTTCCGTGTTTTCACTGTTATACACTCGGGGCACTCTTACGCATCTTCTGAACGAGTACAAAACCTCCCGAACAAAAACACACGTGAACAGGACGGAGAAACCAGCGATCTCTTATGTAAACAGATGCATATGAAAAATAATGCGATCATCAGCAATAGACAGCATATAAATGAAAACAGCATAATGTTACGGAGTTAAATGTTGATCCGGAAAGTGGTATATGTAACCATGTATAAATAATTTTTTATTTACTTGGTTTTTCACTTATTTCTCACAGTGAATATAGCCGTTGTTGCTGTAATGATGCTAAATTATAAACAAACAAACACTGTCCATCATCGTGTCTGTCCTTTTATTGTGGTTTTATTTTTGTATTGGTAAAGCTTCAGAGCCCTGATGTGGTTGTGTGTGTGTGTGTGTGTGTGGTGGTCTCTTTCAGGTACTATAGAGGCACTCACGGCGTTATAGTGGTTTATGACGTCTCCAGCGCCGAATCGTTCGTGAACGTCAAACGCTGGCTTCATGAAATCAATCAAAACTGTGACGACGTTTGTCGAATATTAGGTAAGTATATTGCTGTTGTTGTTTTGGATGAATTTCACCAAGAAATGACCTGTTACATGTGAAAAAGTTCAACTGCACTAGTTGAAAAATGGATAGAAATAGTAGAAACCATCAAGATTTGAGGTTAAATATATACAGTATATATTTGTGTGTTATATGTTTAAGAAGGTTTTTTTTCTCTGTGAGTTCACTTTACATGCACTTTACATGTATTAATGTGCATGCACAATTATAATGCAATTAAGAATTGTATTTATTATTCTATTGGCATTTTTTTAGCATTGCAGTAATAAGATTTTTTTTGAAGAAAATATGAAGTTAATTTGCAAAAACCGATAAACGGCATTTAAAAAAAAAAAGAGCTGATTGCCATGCATTATTCTCCACATATAGCGCGATCTGAACCCTAAACACGTTTTGTCAAAAAAGCCGGTTTTGTCCACTTTCAAGGCATCGCGAGTTCACGTTTTACTTCAGAAGCCGACAAGCGCCCTTGTTTTTGGACAGAAGCCGATAAATCCATTTCAGCGAATCAGCGCGCTGTATTCAGGTCAGGTGACAAGCTACTTTCACTCTGAACAGACGCGCTAGCTGAGAGGAGTTTCGTCAAAGCTGACTAAAAGTGATCGAGGATCATTTCGACGAACTTGATGAACCTGTGATATCTTCTTCAGGCGAAAAATAATAATAATAATAATGTGTATTGCGTGTAATCACATCATACAGGTTATGATCACAACAACAACGTTTGTCAGGCGTCTACATTGTCGTCTGAGGAGGTTACAAAGATTAAACCAGTGCTTTTTTAAACTCTAAAACATGAAATGGGGAGTTATCTACTTTTGCTATAAAACCAACTTTTAATTTGTAAAAAAAAACATACTTTCAATTAACGTTAATTTAGTAAATTACCTGTATTTGTTTGTTATTATTATTACTTAATCAAAACAACCCAAGTACTGCAGTTTGATTGATATTACTTGGAATGCGCAATAAAAAAAACGTGATTTCTGAAAATAAAATAAAAATGGAGTTATCGGTTTTTGCAAATGAACTCTTCATATTAAAAACAGTGGTCCTAATAATAGCCATAATTTTCTTTATCTTCAATCTTTTCTTTAATTTTTTATATTTTTGGGATGAAATATGAGCTTGGCATTTCTTAATGGCGTTTCAGATTCAGCCTTTCAGCATGTTCTGAATGATAGGCACTTTGCTCTTGGTTCATATGGAGCTCTTGTTGTTGTGGTTATTGGTTATGCTTGGTTTTAACGCTCTTTTCTCTGCTCTGGGGTCAGTGGGTAATAAGAATGACGATCCCGCCTCTAAAGTGGTGGAGACCAACGACGCGCAGAAGTTTGCTGAGCAGATGTGCATCCGACTGTTTGAGACCAGCGCCAAGGAGAACGTCAACGTCGAGGACGTAAGTCAAGCTTTTCAAACACGGTTAGATTAAACATCATCATGCTACAGAAAATAAAACCTTCAATGGAGTCATATCATGAAAAGCAGCATCTGTCTCATTTATTTGTAATGAAAGAGTTTTGTGTGACATACTAGAGCCTTCAGAAACTTCCTTTCCCGACTGAAGACTTTTGGGGAATAGGAACTATATCTGCTGTTTTAGTGCTGCAAGTCATATTTATATCTCTAGCGCTTTATGCAGTACAGATTGCTTCACAGTAACAAACAGGAAAGTAACAGTATTAATGTTGTAAAATTCATCAGTTATGAAACAAATTCACTTTCTGAAATGGGACAGTAGAGTCATTATTTAGATCAGTTTAGGTCAATAACCGCGTCAGGGATGTTTAATCAGTAGACTCAAAGGAGACCTATTATGCCCCTTTTAACAATATGTAATATAAGTCTCAGGTGTCCCCAGAATGTGTCTGTGAAGTTTCAGCTCAAAATACTCCTCGGATCATTTATTATATCATTTTGAAAAAAAATAAGTAAAACGAAAACTTTATAAAGCTAAAACTATAAACGCATAACAATAAAACTATAAACACAACAAGACAAAAAATGATTCAAAATATTAATAAAACTATAATAGTATGATGTATTAAAATAAGTAAAACTTAAACTAATTATTAAATGGAAATTAAAAAAAAAAATATATATATATTTAAATATAAAAAAATTTGTAAAACGCAACAAAATTAATAAACCTTTAACTAAAATTAAAACAAAAATGGAAAGTAGAAAAACAGAAATAAATTCAGAATTTTAATAAACTATAATAGTATCACAATGATACTAAAATAATACTGTATACTACAAAAGTGTACGGTATGGGCCTTTTTTCAAATAATTTTAAGCAAACATCTAATGTTCAGAAATGCATTTTGTTTTTATAGTCCCACTTTATATCAGGTGGTCTTAACTACTATGTACTTACATTTAAATTAATCATTTGGTACAATGCAATTATTGTGTACATGTTTTTACATTGTACGTATATTTTTAAAAATACCTGCATGTAATTACATCTGTAATTAATTTCTGTAATTACATCATTTATAATTACACCGTTGACCCATGCATCCCTTAACCCACCCTTAAACCTACCCATACCACCAAACCTGTCCCTAACCTTACCCGTATCACACTGCAAAACACTTTTGCTGCTGTTGCGATACAATATGAACGCAATAAGCACATTGTACTTATTTTTTGATGTAAGTACGGAGTAGTTAAGGCCACCTAATATAAAGTGTGACCGTTTTTATTGATTCAGACTGTCTCACTGATGTGTTATTGTGTCTGTCTGTGCATCAGATGTTCAACTGCATCACTGAGCTCGTCCTGAAGGTCCGGAAAGAGTCTGTGGCCAAACAGCAGCAGCAGAGCGAAGTCGTCAAACTGAGTAAGAGCAGCAAACGCAAGAAGAAATGCTGCTAATGGACCGGACTCATGTATACACACACACCCACACACACACCCTTAGAGAGCCAATCGACGAAACGCCACTGAACTGACAAGAGCCAGACGGCTTAACACACTTAACCCAACCCGTGAGAGACTAGTAATGAGAGAGATTTACTAATGATGAGCCCGTTTGGATTTGGGAGGACGCCTACAGACTCCGATGTTTTAGCAGGATTGGATTCCAGTGGCATCGCACTTCATTGTTGTTTTTTTTCCCCTGAAGATCTGCCGCAGAAATGTTAAAATAGAAAATGAAACGTCTGCATCTTCGTCATTGTCTGCGTTTCACATGCTGTGGAATCATACCAACAAGCCCTAATGTGAGCGACTGCAGTGTTAATGTGACTTAACATCTACCGACACCAATCAGGACCACATATAAGTTGGAGAACATTATGAATTTTCCCATATTTTCATGCACGTCGTCACAGACGGACCAAATGTGTGCTGCTCTGCCAACTACCAAGAGACATTTGTTTTGCCTTTTGCGTTCTTTTTTGTCATTCATTTTTGTAAAATTTATTTTTTTTACTAACAAATTATACAATCAAACACACAGTAGTGTTTAATGAATCTGGTGCCACTGACTGAAAGTTATTATATTTACAAAGCTGCGAGGAAACGCTGAATCTCATGTGCAACTGCATGAAAGCGCGGATTTAAGGGTTGATGCAAAAATTGATCAGCTGAAAATGTGCTGTGCAAGATTAGGATGAGTTTGTTTCTTCATCAGGTTTGGAGAAATGTAGCATGTCAGCAATGGATGCTCTGCAGTGAATGGGTGCCGTCAGAATGAGAGTCCAAACAGCTGATAAAAACATCACAATAATCCACAGCACTCCAGTCCATCAGTTAACATCTGGAGAAGACAAAAGCTGAAACACATCCAGCATTAAGATGTTAAGTCTGAATCAGGAGCGAAGTCTGCACAGGTCAAGCACGTGTGGATTATTGTGATGTTTTTATCAGCTGACGGCACCCATTCACTGCAGAGCATCCATTGCTGAGACACTGATGCAGTGACACATTTCTCCAAATCTGATGAAGAAACAAACTCATCCTAATCTCGGATGAACTGAGGATGAACACATTTACAGCACATTTTCATTTTTGTATAAACTATTCCTTTGAAAGGAATAATTCATGTGAAAATGCACACTTTGTCTATATTTACTCACCTGCATGTCATTGCAAACCATGAAGTTTTTCATGCTACTTTCACTGAGAAGAGCAGCGTGAACATTCTGCTAAACGTCTCCTTTTGTGTTTCACAGAAGAAAGTAAGTCAAACGACTTTGGAATGACATGAAGGCGAGTAAATAATGACAGAATGAGCATTTTAATTGAATTTATGGTTCTCAGTGCTGGTGTCAGTGCGTGATCTCTCCTTATTTTCCAATTTGAAAGAGACGAAAAACAAAAGTGACCTCTCTGAAGCAGATCATGTGACTGTAACCTGCTGTATTTGACTCCTCAGATCTTCTGAACACAATCTAGTTCCTCTTCAGCAGGAATATCGAGACACCAGCGGCATTTATGACTGAAAATATCACTCCCTGAAGAGCTGAGTGTTGCCGGTGACGCTTTTGGATCCTAATACGCAATTACAGTGACAGATTGTGGGAGTGAATGATTCTTGCTTTGAGATGCTCACAGGGAATCTGCGACAAACCCTTATGAAACCACGGTTGTGCTAATTTATATGTTACTTACACGCGTGCGACCACGCACGTCTGCATGTGGACACTGACACATGCATCTGTGTGCTTCTGTTTGTGTAATGATCTGGTGTACACTGGAAACCATGAACTATTACTCATATTCATTGTCCCAACACGAGTCTAACGATAATAAACATTTTAAGAGAACAAAATGTTCATCTTCACTCCTTGTCTTTACTAAATAAAATGTTACTGTGGTTGTTTCACCACTAGGTGTCGCTCTAATACAGCATTATTCGGCTCACTGTGACAAACTCCTGCCTTTTATTCAGAGCTACATTTTGCTTTGGTTCTCTTTGTTTCTGGATAAGTTTTTAAATGCATTTTTGGAGACAAATCAGAAACATATCATATCAGTCAGGCTAGAATCTAAATTGTGTTACAGGTGCTTCATTTTACAAAATAGAATCTGAATTTTACATTTGTGTCCCTCATGTGTAAAAGAAATTAACATTTAACATTTGTGTCATTTTTTAAAAATTATAATTTTTTTAACTTTTAAATGATTTTTGTATTTTAAAAAAACGGTCAAAAGTTTTAGTTAAGATTTATTAATGTTTTCATGTCTCTTCTGCTCATTAAGGTGGCATTTATTTGAGAAAAAACACAGTAAAATCAGCAATATTGTGAAATATTTTTACCGTTTCAAACAGCTGTTCTCTATGTGAATATGTGTTAAACTGTAATGTATTTCTGTGATGCGCAGCTGTATTTTCAGCATCATTCCTCCAGTCTTCAGCGTCACATGATCTTCAGAAATCAGTATAATATGCTGATCTGCTGCTCGAGAAACATTTCTGATTATTATCAATGTTGAAAACAGTTGTGCTGCACAATATTTCTGTGGAAACTGTGATGCATTTTATTTTTCAGGATTCACAGATGAATAGAAAGTTCACTTTAACAGCATTTGTAATAGAAATTTCTAACATTATAAATGTATTTACTGTCACTTTTGATCAATTTAATGCGTGTCTGATGAATAAAAGTGTTTAAAAAAAGTATCACTGTTTCAACAAAAATATTGTGCAGCACAACTTTTCAACATTGATAATAATCAGAAATGTTTCTTGAGCAGCAAATCAGCATATTATACTGATTTCTGAAGGATCACGTGACGCTGAATTCACAAGATGTGAAAAAGTGCTTTTCTTTACAGTAAATGACTCTTGCTTTGATGTTTTTAAAGTCTTGTTTGTTCAGTACAAACAGAAACGTACTCGTGTCTTGACGATCTTGGCACTGAGATCTGCATGTTCTCCAGCGAGTGTGAATAGTGTGTGTTGCTGCTCTGACGTCTCGATGAAGCTGTACTGTAGTTTTAGCTCCAGATGTCCTCGTTTGTCGTCCTGCTGGTGCGGTGACCCGAGGTCGTGTCTGCTCCATCTGCTCCTGCTCCTGCAGCTCCTGTGAGTTTAAAGAGTAAAACTGAAAAATAAACTGCTTTAATAGAATCTGTTCAGTGTGTAGAATGTGTAATGCATTCAGGTTCATAGTATGATGCATTGCACTGTGCAGAATGATGAAGATGTTTCCATGGCATTTTCTTTCTGCAGCATCATAATAGTAGACTATATGACTCATGCACTACATTCAAGTCATACAATGCTCAGGCTATCCAAGATGTTCCTCAGGTTTGTAGAAATGTAGCACTGCATCAGTGTCTCAGCAATGGATGCTCTGCAGTGAATGGGTGCCGCCAGAATGAGAGTCCAAACAGCTGATAAAAACATCACAATAATCCACAGCACTCCAGTCCATCAGTTAACATCTGGAGAAGACAAAAGCTGAAACTAATCCAGCATTAAGACGCTTTTAACTCAAATACATAGAGTCCATAATCCATAATAACGCTTCCTCCAGTGAAAAAGTGTTCTGGTGTGAATCAGGAGAGAAATCTGCACAGATCCAAAACTGCTCTAAACAAATATGTGAGAGAACAGCAGATGCACTTTTTCACTGGAGGAAGCGTTATTATGGGTTATGGACTCAATGTATTTGAGTTAAAAGCGTCTTAATGCTGGATTAGTTTCAGCTTTTGTCTTCTCCAGATGTTAACTGATGGACTGGAGTGCTGTGGATTATTGTGATGTTTTTATCAGCTGTTTGGACTCTCATTCTGACGGCACCCATTCACTGCAGAGCATCCTTTGCTGAGACACTGATGCAGTGCTACATTTCTCCAAACCTAAGGAAGAAACGTGATTAATTTGTCAGGCAAGCTGATTTCTTTATTTTTCGGATGTTTTAGAGCATGGTGTCGTCGTGATTGTTCTAATGACCTGCGAGTGCTGGTGATATCGTCTTGTCTATGAACTCAGATGGTTTCTATATTCTCTGTAATTTCCCATGTCTCTCTCCATCACAGCTCGGGGAGGCTGTTGCCATGGCGCTCACAGACATCACCAGGGAAACCAGATCTTCACAAGCCAGTGAGACTCAATGAGAGAATGTAGATAGAGTGTGGTAATGTAACTTGTGTAGTACAGGTGCATCTCAATAAATTAGAATGTCGTGGAAAAGTTCATTTATTTCAGTAATTCAACTCAAATTGTGAAACTCGTGTATTAAATAATTTCAATGCACACAGACTGAAGTAACTTAAGTCTTTGGTTATTTTAATTGTGATGATTTTGGCTCACATTTAACAAAAACCCACCAATTCACTATATCAACAAATTAAAATATGGTGACATGCCAATCAGCTAATCAACTCAAAACACCTGCAAAGGTTTCCTGAGCCTTCAAAATGGTGTCTCAGTTTGGTTCACTAGGCTACACAATCATGGGGAAGACTGCTGATCTGACAGTTGTCCAGAAGACAATCATTGACACCCTTCACAAGGAGGGTAAGCCACAAACATTCATTGCCAAAGAAGCTGGCTATTCACAGAGTGCTGTATCCAAGCATGTTAACAGAAAGTTGAGTGGAAGGAAAAAGTGTGGAAGAACCGCAGCCTTATGAGGATTGTCAAGCAAAATCGATTCAAGAATTTGAGTGAACTTCACAAGGAATGGACTGAGGCCGGGGTCAAGGCATCAAGAGCCACCACACACAGACGTGTCAAGGAATTTGGCTACAGTTGTCGTATTCCTCTTGTTAAGCCACTCCTGAACCACAGACAACGTCAGAGGCGTCTTACCTGGGCTAAGGAGAAGAAGAACTGGACTGTTGCCCAGTGGTCCAAAGTCCTCTTTTCAGATGAGAGCAAGCTTTTCCACGACATTCTAATTTATTGAGATGCACCTGTGTATAGAGACAGCCCCACATCCGACTGAACTACATCTAGAACACTTCTGTTCTGACTTCTGCTTCTGATACTGACATTCATGGAAGCCGGGTTCTGCCACAGAATTAAAACAAAAAAGGTAATTGTGATTTTTTTTTTTTAATCTCTCAGTTCAGACTTTATCGCAATTCTGAGAGAAAAAAAAAATCTGCCAGATGTACACTTTTTTTCCTTGCATTTCCAAGTTTAAATCTCACAATTGTTTTATTATTATTATTTTTACCAGAATAAAAAAATTAAAAAAGGTAATAATGACTTTTTATCCCGTGAGTTATGAGTTTTTGTCTTGGAATTATGACCTCCTTCTTAGAATTGCAAGAAAATGTCAAATTGTGAGACTTTATTATTATTATAATTTTTTATCCTGTGGCAGAAATGGGTCTCCATAGAGATTCGCCTGTAAGAGGAAAGCTGAAGCAGGCTTTATTGTATTAAAATCCTGATCTTTTCCCTGAAATGTTCTTTAATTCATTTTTCTTTGAAACAATGTACGGTGACAAGAACTATTCAAATAAAATTGGCTTGACTTACAATGATCTTTCATCAGTGTGTCCCAGATTGACTGCTCTTAGTGTTTCTGCAGTATATAGTACAGTATACACTGAGCATCCCATAATGCAATGTGCTTGACTTGACCCTTCATTTATGACCACTAAAGTGGAAATGAAATATATTTACAAAGTATACTTTAAAAAGATTAATATAGACTATAGTTAGTGTATTTTTTGTTGTTGCAAAATTGGATAGAAATGCAAAAAACGTTTATTATTACACATTGATGGCCAATATTAATGCAAAGATTGTGTATCTTTACAGTTTAATAATATTATAATATTTAATATTATTGCATTAAGAGTTTTTAACAGCACTTCTCAAACATTCAAGCTATTATTTTTAAATTTTGCAAAAATGAGCTCTACCCATTTCGTGTTGAACAGTGAGCTTTTGAAGCATTATGTGTTTGTAATTATATTAATGCAACATATGTTATGACTATAACAGAAAAAAAACACAAAAAGGGGTAAACATATGCAAAATAAACAAGTGAAAATAAAATAAATTCTATAATTTAAAAAACGCATGATAATAATAATAATAAAGTAGTGATAACATTAAGAAATCTATATAGAATCATTACCAAAAAAAATCAAATTTTGTTTCAAGAATCTGTCACTTTTTTTATTACTAGTTAAATTGAACAAAAAGATTTGAGAAGTGACCTCAGTCAAAAAAATGAGAGCAGGACGTGAGCCATAAAAACATTTGTTTATGCATACACAATTGTGGATATCAAATTTTGTTTCAAGAATCTGTCACTTTTTTTATTACTAGTTAAATTGAACAAAAAGATTTGAGAAGTGAGTCTACCTCAGTCAAAAAAATGAGAGCAGGACGTGAGCCATAAAAACATTTGTTTATGCATACACAATTGTGGATATATTCCCTAGACTTTTTAGAAGTGTCAGTAACAAATAATATCTTTAAATTGAAACATTGATAAAAATATTGGCATGACGCCGGTGGGCGGCGCTTAGGCGAACGTGGTGACGTATGTCGGCTGCGTCCTCCAATGAACTGTCGCGCCGAACGCGCGAAATTTGAATTCATCAGGAAGCGTTAAACGTTTCCACACAGAAGTCAGTCAGTGATGTTGATGTTCATCTAAAACGCGATTAATCTACAATAATTCTCATTTACTGCCTCAGATATTCTCACATGAGCATTAGGTGAGCATACATCTAATCTTCTTTCAAACGGAGCTGAAAGTGTTTGTTTAACGCGACCGTTATGAGCTCGACGGTAACGTTAAATAACGAGGGAAATTGTCAAACTGGAACATTTCTGCTATAACATTGTCAATAACGTTAATTAATCTCATTATGAGTGATTTTAGAAGCGATGTCGATTTAAATATTAAGCCTGTTTGTATAGCGATATGATTAATTTGCTGTGTCATGGTCAAATGTTTACAGTTTGCCGCGCGTCAGTTAATCAGTTTAACGGATTCACCTCACAAATACATTTAAAGTTTATGGTTCGCTATTAATATTTTAGTTTATTTGATTAATTTGTTCTGATACGCCTTATAAATTTCCTGTCGTGTGACAAATTAATTTTAAAAATAAAAAATGTTAATTTTGCTTTTTAGTTAATATGTACGTTAACTGTGTGTACAATACTTTTTGTTTAAAATGATTTTACACGAACTATAAAAATGTCACAATGTCAACTACTGTATACAGATATGTTGTATTATATAATTAAGCTTTTAGATATTTGAGGTTTTAACACTTTAGATACCTGCATTATGATTATAGTGTTTAAAAACAACTTGCCTGTATTATCATTGCAGCACTGATAAAGTGTCTTAAATCCTATGTTTGGGCATCATAGGCATATTCCCATAATTGCTGTCTGGATCTAGGGGTGTGCGATATTGACAAAAAATAATATCTCGATATTTTCATAATTGGATCGGCAGCTGACTTGTATTTGACATGCGTGTTGTATTGACTATTGCTCATGTTTGTCCTGCAGTGATGTTGAAGTTTAAATATGGAGGCCACGTCAGTGTTAAAGATCTGTCTGCTGTGGACTCCATCACCAGCCGCTGCGCTCGACTCAATCAGCTGCTGCAGGTGAGCTCTCATCACCGCTTTAGTACGTCTGAGGCTTCAGATCATCTGTATAATAGCATGCCACTAAACTATGGTAGAATAACATTAGCAGATATACACATTTAGAAGGACACACGAATGAGGTCCAATTCTTTTACTGCAATCTTTTTTTGTCAGACTGTGGCTAATATTGGCGAGCATTTAGCAATATTTCTTATGCAAATGTCCTGTTTCAGTGGAAGATACATCAGCACGTAAAAAAAAGAAACCTGTGCCTCGTCATTTTGTGGGTCTTAATTGAGTGTCGTTCACGATCACAGCTGGTCTTGCCATGCGTTTGGTTGTCTGTATCTGAATTTGAAGCTGTTATTGCATTGCTGTGAAATGTGGCACGGCCCTGCTTCTTAAAGGGAAAAAAATCTGCTGATTTGGCTTAATATTATCTAATTTGATGATGGCTGTGTGTTTAAATATCAGTAAAAATTCCCATGGCATACAGTTTATGCCATGTTTTTCTATTAAGGTTTTTCACCTTTTTCACTTATACAAGAAAGCATTTGTCTAACTACTTTTAAATCAAGTCTTAAAACGTATCTATAAATGAGCTGTTTATGATCGGTCTTAATAAACTGGGTTCACTTGAAGAGCAGTGAATGGGAGAGTACCACAAATATATTTTTTGCATTACCATTTGCACAAATAGCAAAATAAAAACTCCACGATAGTGTTTTCATGACTTTCAATAAAATAAAAAAAACGAGAACGATGTCAAATTTACCGTCCTTCCCAGAGACGCTGCATTAGAAACACCCTCGCGTTAGCGTTAACTAGTTTTTTTGTAATTTGATGCAAATTTTTTATGTTATAAATGTACATACATTAAAAAAAATACAAATATGAAAAACTTTTGAGGATTTACGATGCTGATGACCGTTAAACGCTTCATCACAGTCTTGTGGAAGGGGTCCATTATTATTATTTTCAAATTATATTTATATAAAATTTAATGCACTTATTTAATGACAAAGAAGTATTCAAAATGCATCATTTAATTTACAATCTGCAAAGGAGTGGCCAAAGTGTAAATCAAGATAATGCCTTGAATCGTTCATGTATGTGAAAAAGGGCTGATAATTGAACAAATAGCTGTAATATGGCTCAGATTCAGACAGGAATCACGTCTTTGTGGTGTTTTTTGCTGCTTAAGAGAGAATCCGAGACTACTTCTCCAGGTTGAAAGCAAAAATGCTATAAAATGCATTACATTTTGTGAGAAAATACTGACATGCTCCCGCAAAACATATTCTATTTCTATATACATTTTGTGTTGTAAAATGAATGTTTGTGGTTTTTCAGGGAAAGTGCAGCGCGTCGGGTGTTTCCAGAGAAACTCTGATTGATGCTTTTCTGCTGCTCTATCAAGAGTGCGCCACGCCAGAGCTCATGAAGATCAAACATGTGGCCAACTTTGTCAATAAATGTAAGCGCCTTAATATGGAATCAGTCAAATAGCCATTTAGTCTGTGTTTTCATTGTATTGTGACCGTTTGTGTGTGTCAGATTCTGAATTAGTGGCTGAAGTTCAGGAACTGCTTCCTGGTAAGAAGGATTTTGAGGTGAGGGGCATCGTGGGAAGGGGACACTTCTCCGAGGTGCAGGTGGTGAAGGAGAAAGCTACAGGAGATGTGTACGCCATGAAGATCATGGACAAAACCAGCCTGCGTTCACAGGACAATGTGAGTCTCCTCCAAACCTGAAGTGTTACGCTGCGTCCTAACCAAGAGTGATGTGGTGCAAACCTTGTTTTGCTCCTCAAAAAAATAACATAAATCATATATCAACTCAACAATCTGGACTAGTTTGTCAATTCATTTAGTTTGCTTAAAGGGGACCTATTATGCCTCTTTTTACAAGATGTAAATTAAGTCTCTGATGTCCGCAGAGTGTGTATGTGACGTTTTAGCTTAAAATACTCTACAGATTTTTTTTTTATAGCTTGTTTAAGTTGCCACTTTTAGGGTATGAGACCAAACGTGCTGTTTTTGTCTTTGTCCCTTTAAATGCAAATGAGCTGGTGCTCCCCGCCCCCTTTTCAGAAGAGGGCGGAGCTTCAAGAGCTAATGCTTCCCTAATGCTCCCGCCAACACACAACAATCTCACACTGAAACTGTCAGAAACTTTCAAGCGATTGACTCGCGTTGCTTTCATATGCATTTTTTAACTACCACATTCCTATTTACGATCGTTCTGGCAGCATGCGAAGGCAGAAAACAGGCATATCTTTAGCAAAATTAGCCTTACAGAGTGCCAAGAAGCTCTTTCAGAAAGGCAATTTGAAAACAGTATGAAGTGCTTACTTTGAATCTGACATTCGCCCACGAAGCGTTGGTGTTGATCCCTCTTTCAGAATCAGACATTGTGAAAATCCAGCGTTTGTGAGGCAGTCCGGTGTAAAATGATTGACTTGGCTATCGTTTTTTTTTTCGGTTCATTTCCTTCGAAAATGAAATTTAACCACAGTGTCCTTAGTGGCTCAGATGGAGGGATGTTCATTGGTGCATCCCAAAACACAACACTTGTAATGCCTGTGTTTATGCTGATAGGGCAGAGAGCATCACAAATGGGTGGGACTTTTTCCATATGGTGACGTGTACCTAGGGTGAAATCTGGAATCGCTTGTTCTGAGAGACTGTTTATGATTTATTGGGATTATAAAAAAATGAGTGGGTGGATTTTTACCAATAAAGACTGGTTGTTTTCACACACTGCAGCCACACAACTGAGTTCAAACTGTTTTTTGCATAATAGGTCCCCTTTAAACCCAGCCCCTTTCTTATAATCCACTGTAAGCTCTCATTCAGATCTGCCTCTTTTAAGAGGCATGTCCACTTAACAACATCCAATCAACGACCGACAGATAGAACCAAGTCCCCGCCCTAAATTTTTTCCTTTTTCAATAATAATCCAGTCGCTCCGATGTATTTCACCATACGGATGAAAAGATATGTTGCTACCTCCGGTTCATCATGATTTTAAAATATGTTTTGATTTGCTGAGTTTTTCACACAGCATTTCATTTCAGTGTGGACAGACAATTTACTTGGTAATTTGGTAAATTACTTGGTCACAGTTCACCTGGTTAGGACAAGCAAAGATGAGATCTAGTTTGCTTGCTTCTGAGCACTAAACAAAAATAAATTATCTTACACAAACAATATGTGAGCTGTGCTTTATGAATTGTTACACTATTGACAATAAATATTTTGTGCCTGCAAAATTTCTTTAAAATTGATAATGTGACTGTACCTTAACACCAGCCAACACTCCTGGTTTTCTGCTAGTTCTTGCTGTTTTTGTGTGCAGCGTGCTTCATTGAATGAACTGTTAAGTGCAATCACTGTCCTTGAGTAAGAAATCCAGTCTCCGCTTACTCCAGGATGATTTCCACCGTAATAAATGCATAACAGCATCCACTAAATGAGTAATTGAGTTAACTAGTATCTGTTGCATGTATATCAGGATCTCATTAAAAATGCTTTCTTCTCTGTCTTGTAAAGGTGGCATTCTTTGAGGAAGAGCGAAGCATCCTGGCCTTGAACCCAAGTCCCTGGATCCCTCAGCTCCAGCACGCTTTCCAGAACCAGGACTATGTCTATCTGGTGAGTGAGTCTGGTTTAACCTATAGTAGATTTTCTCTAGGCTGCTGGAGTTTCCTCTGCTCTGAGTAATGATTTCGCGTGTGATTGTGATCTGACCCAACTAATAGTGTAAGTTTGTTCTTTAAAAGAGATCTGATGCAGCGATTGCACAGAACGGAACAGCTTGCGCTAAAACGAAAACAAAGTTACACTAGCGGTGCGCCAACTTAAAATACTGTGCTTATCAGAGACACGGAGGCTACTACACACACTAGATTAACTATGACAGAGGAACCAAACAGCGATCCTTTATTTTCACCAGAGAAATGACTGAAGTCGATAGTGTGGGACCATTTTGGGTACACCAAGAATGACCAGGGTGTCATTTAAATAAAACTGCTGCTAAAGAGCGAATACACGGCTTTAAACTATTTTAATGCACGATGTGAAGGCAAGACTGACGCGAAGCTACAACTCGTTAACTCGGTATTCTGCCCAATTCAGATCAGACAGATGAAATGGTGTGGTAAGATCACATTTAGTTGAATTAATTATAACATTTAGCTACTTGAATTAATTATTCGATCGAGAGAGAGAGACAGGGTGTGTGTGAACCTGCGTCAGCACGTCTCTCGTCTCTAGTTATTTTCAAAAGGGAAATACTGACATGTTTACAGAGCAGAGGTCACCTTTTTAATTCCAATTGGAGAGATAGACATTTGTTTGTCTTTATTATTATTATTTTGTGCTGTATTATTGGTTACGGTGTTATTTCTGTTTCTAAAGTAAGCAATAAATAACACTTTATTTTCTAAAGAGTGTCCATGTGATTTTATACAATAATAATTTTGTGAAACTAATAAATGTATAATAATCGTGGAATCGTGATTATTTCTCAGACAATAATCGTACCAACAAAATCTATAATCGTTGCATCCCTAGATGCAACACATTTCCAACCATAAGTTACTGAAATGAAACTGCATGAGTATCAGAACTTCCTTGAGCTTCTTGGATGGGAATTATATACAGAAACTGAGATTAATGTTTTAATTTAGCCAAAAGTAAATGTTGTGATTATGTAATCTAACTTGCCAATTAATAGCGTAAGTCTGTTCTTTGAAAAGACTGTGTGAGTGATATGTTGACATGTCAGGCTGTTGAAATACTGTTCAATATATTACAATTAAATCCTAATCTAATGACAAACAATATATCTTTGGAAAGGTCTAAGACTCCTAAATAGATATTTTACCACTGTTTGTTGTTAAAAATTATGTAGGAACAGTAATAGATTAATTTATTAGTGCACCTAAAAACATATACATCATAACAGGAGTTCTGACCTTTGTCACAAAAATAATTTTTCGTTTCATTTTTCCTTATCACATGTTTTAGTATATTATGTGATCACAAAAATAATTTTTCGTTTCATTTTTCCTTATCACATGTTATTTATCATCATAAATTTATATATCATTTGAAAGCTTAAAACAGGGCTGTCCAAACTCGGTCCTGGAGGGCCGGTGTCCTGCAGAGATTAGCTCCAACTTGCCTCAACACACCTGCCTGGAAGTTTCTATGTCTAGTAAGAGCTTGATTAGCTGGTTCAGGTGTGTTTAATTAGGGTTGGAGCTAAACTCTGCAGGACACCGGCCCTCCAGGACCCAGTAAAACCTCAAAATTCATCCTGTGAAAACCATTTTGAAATCGGACATTGCTGGTTATTTTGTGATGGAAGTAATATTGAGAGAGAAAACATTTGTGGCAGAAAAATGCATCCCAAAAAATTCATTGGAGTTTGGGTGTCACCCGGTGGCTATTTTTGGTCTAACGCCTAAACAAAATTGCATAGAAACCTCATTTTTTTTTATCAACTTCAAATTTGGAACGCAACTTATTTAGACATATGGCTTTAATTTTATAGCAATTTTGGATTAAAAACTATTTTGTAAAATATTTATTTTATATAAAATATTATAAAAATAGTACAGTACATTTTCTTTACAGTAAATGTAAACTTCTATAACTTTTTATACTTTCATTTTTTGAAATGACTTCTTTAGAAAGAGACCAACCTTAGGTCTGTATTCAAAAGCGTTCATGAATTACAACAATTTAAGTTTGAATGGTGCACTTTCAAAAAGGGGGGGGGGCAGTTAAGAGGTTAACCAGTGCAGTTTTCTTTCTTGGGTTGATGCATTTTCTTATGCAACAGGAAGTTTGAGTGGCGCATATCAAAGGATTTATTGTTTAGATTTGTGTTGGTTCATAGTAGATGTAGATGAAACTAGGATGTTGTTTTTTTTTTTTTTTTACGTCCATCCATGATGCACTTCACCTTTAAAAGGTAGAAAAACATGATCCGGCTGCTTTATTTAGCTAAAACTCCCTTTGTGTCAGCGGCGGGGCGTAACACGGCGCTTTGTCTGTCTTTCTAATGGATGTTTGTGATCATGGCAGGTGACAATACAGCGAATGTTCACGGTGTTCTTGCCCTGCTCCGTACAAACCGTGTCTGCGTCTTTCTTCTGTAGAGCTACAGTCTGACCTGAAGATGAGGACATGAAGTTTACTTCACAGTTTAGATTCAGAATTATAGAGAATATTTCCTGTAGAGAGAGACATGCGAGTTTAAAAAATCATCAGACGCGACACGTTTCCATTCACATGTTAATGCTGCACGAGGATCAGAACTTCCTTGAACTGGATTTATGGGGCTACCAGTTAATAATAATACTTATATATTTATATTTTATATACCTTAAGGTCACTTTTTGAATACATAAAACGTAAGACAAATACATAATCCAAGCACAACAAACAATACAGAGGCAGAAACGAGAAACAATTTGATGTGGGAAATGCGACAGAATTTTGTTAGTGATGCACCGAAATGAGCTATTTTCACTGAAACAAAATAAAAGTTTTATCCAAATTTAGGTAAAAATACATTTCCAGTAATTCAGTTTGGGTAAATGAACTCGAAATGCTGTTCAGTAAAGTTCTTTGGAAACACTCTGCCACTATTTCAGCTGAACAAATTTTACATATTGTTATTTTAGGGTAATATATTTATTAGTGCTGTCAAACGATTAATCGCATCCAAAATAAACGTGCATCCCTAATGTTTATATATTAAATATATTTATATATAATTGTAATTATGTGAATATAAATATATACATGTAAACATTTTCAAAATATGTACTATTTATGTGTGTCTTTATATATGCATAATAAATATACACAATACACACACATATACTGAGTAAACACAGTTTTATTTTGGATGCTATTTTGCATTAATATTAATATCATATAATATTATTATATTAATAAAATATTTTAATTTTCAATTGCCATAACTTCAGTGCATAACAATCAGTTAGGAAAAACTGATAGTTATGCATATTTACGACTATATCTGACCCTGGAGCACAAAACCAGTCATAAGGGTCAAATTTTTTAAATTGAGATTTATACATCATCTGCAGTGTTTCCCCTGCAATTATTTTAGGGGGGCGGCCCGCCCCCCCAATGGCACCCCCCTTGAAGGTCAAGTTAATTTTATTTAATTATATTTTCTCTATAGCGCCAGATCACAACAGAAGTAATTTAAAGTTACCTTTCTTATAAAACATGTCTATACCTTGTTCTTTCATTAAGCAAACTAAATAGCCTTATGTTATTTATCTTATTGACACGACGGCATGTCATTTCAGTCTCTACGTTATGGTCGCGCTCTCTGTATCACACACACACACACACACACACACAAGTAAGCTCACTCCGATTCATATTTAAATATGAATTCTGCGTGTCTCTGTGTTAATGAACGGCGCAGACGCGCGGTTTTGTGTAGAATTTGGTTACAATAAAACATAAGGTTGGACAAATAAAACATTTCATAGGGCACTAAACGTAATATTTGTTAAACTTTTAATAAGTTTCATGATTTTAATTAATTAGACATGCTTTTTGATTAATAAAATGTAATTTAACCATTAAAAAGGAGTCCAGAAAAAAAAAAACGAAATCTACCCCTCGAAGCCGTAAACCTAGGGGAAACACTGATCTGTAAGCTGAATAAATCAGCTTTTCATTGATGTATGGTTTGTTAGGATCGGACAATATTTGGCTGAGATGCAACTATTTGAAAATCTGGAGTCTGAGGGTGCAAAAAAATCTAAATATTGAGAAAATCATCTTTAAAGTTGTTCAAATGAAGTTCTTAGCAATGCATATTACTAATCAAACATTAAGTTTTTATATATAATTACGGTAGGAAGTTTACAAACTATCTTCATGGAACATAATCTTCACTTAATATACTAATGATTTTTGGCATAAAAGAAAGATGTATAATTGTGACCCATACAATGTATTGTTGGCTATTGCTACAAATATCCCCCAGCGACTTAACACTGCTTTTGTGCTCCAGGGTCACATATGTTTGTTCAGGGAATCCCTAATTTGATTAAACAGCACCGGACAATATTTGGCTGAGATGCAACTATTTGAAAATCTGGAGTCTGAGGGTGCAAAAAAATCTAAATATTGAGAAAATCATCTTTAAAGTTGTTCAAATGAAGTTCTTAGCAATGCATATTACTAATCAAACATTAAGTTTTGATATATTTACGGTAGGAGATTTACAAAATATCTTCATTGAACATGATTGAACATTAATATCCTAATGATTTTTGGCATAAAAGAAAGATGTATAATTGTGACCCATACAATGTATTGTTGGCTATTGCTACAAATATCCCCCAGCGACTTAACACTGCTTTTGTGCTCCAGGGTCACATATGTTTGTTCAGGGAATCCCTAATTTGATTAAACGGCACTTATAATTACAACATTGTCTGTTTTGAATCAGTGTTACAGTATTATTAATGTGTGTTTTAGTGTAATATTGCACAGACAGTGATTACGCAGTATCTGTGGGGTGTTGTGGAGGCTTTCCAGCTTCTCATGAGGGCAAACGCATGAAGCTCAAAGTGACTAAAGAGACTGTTTTCTATTTCTGCCACCTCCCTCGTTCCAGACGCCCCCAGCAAAAGAGGGGGAAAAACAGAAATCTGTCTTTACCCGAGCGATGCGCTGAAAAGACCCTCGCTAGCTTGTTGCTAGGATACCTGGGCTTGCCGTTCGTGTCCCGCCGGCTTTGCTTTCCATTCATGTTCTCTCGTCTGTGTTTGTGTGGGCGTGTGTATGTGTGTTTTCATGCACCGTTCTGTGTGTTTGTGTGTGTGTGTGGTGCTGGTTTGCCCCAGAGCCGTCACACAGGGGCAGATCTCATCTGGAGCATGTGCGGAGTTCGTTTCAGCTTTAGTAACGGTGTGGAGGGAAGTTTCTGATGAAGAGCGCAGTCGAGGGACTCGTGATGATTCTGCCTGCGCGTGTGTGTGTGTGTGTGTGTGTGTGTGTGTATATGTTGTTTTTACCACCGAATGTGATCAGATACAACAAATCATCTGAGCTGTGGTGGAAATGTTCTTGAGATAAAGGAGAAAAATGACAGAATTGCTGTGTGTCGCATGTAAACGCACTGGACGTTGTTAGTAGATGAATTAAAGCAGTGTGTGAAGTGTGTTTTAATGAGAGAACGAGTCTTGTATAATCTCTCGGGAATTTCGGGACATCATTTGAATGATTCTGATCACTTTCATGTTCCAGTAAAATGCTATTCTGCATTTATTAAAATGTCTTATTGATGTATCAGTCAGACGAGACTCTGCTGATGCTCAATTAGCGCTGCAGCGCTGCTGTAAATCACCAAATAATCACAATAAATAATTAACTGTTTACATTTGCATACATTCATTCTTGTGCTGGAGTCTGTGAGGTTCATACATCAGAAATATCTCTGTTTACATGTTCAGATCTATTATAGAGTAATTAATTTGAGCCTGTGGTGTGGTTTCAGGCTGATATTGTGGCAGATACTGTGCCTATAAATAACCACGCTGTCATTCATATACTGCTCTCTCTGTGCTTTTCTCTGCTGTTTTTCTTTGGGTTTGCACATACGCTGCTCTCTCAAGATGCAGTTTTTAAGCTAATCAGCTAATTAGAATGGTAATGGTGTAATCACAAGATTTTATTTATTATGTGTATGTGTGATCGAGACGAGTGGCTGCTAATTGAACCAACCGGACGGAGATGTTTTGTGCTATAATAGATTCACTTACAGGTGTTTATTATTACGCAAGATCACGTTGTGAGGTCTGCTGTACACCTGATGCTCAGTTACTGTAAACTCGTTATGTGCTCATTACATTCACTTCTGAGGCACTCGGACTGTCATTTCATTGGATAAAATGTCAAAACAAGTGTCATTTATAAAGAAAGATTGCACACTTTACAAAACATTTGTAAAAGAGGTTTTAAAATCAAAACCCTAGCTGATTAAATGCAAAAGTGATTTGTTTAGTATTTTGCTATTTCTAATGCCATGATATTTACAATTTTTTTTAAGTTTGACTGAAGTGGCCAAAAAACGTTTGAGATTTAAAAAAAAAAATGTTTTTGACTGAATCCATTGCATCAAATGCTGTTCATGTGTTCATGTTTTGTCCAGGTGATGGAGTTTCTGCCCGGCGGTGACCTCATGGCTTTGATGAACAGATATGAAGATCAGTTAGACGAGTCTATGGCTCAGTTTTACCTGGCGGAGCTCGTGCAGGCCATTCACTCGGTCCATCAGATGGGATACGTGCACAGGTACAACGAAACACACACTATTATCTTTGTTAAATAGCAAAATCCTTTAGTTTGTCCCAGCCATTACCATGATTTACTATTTTCTAATGCTAGAAAGGTATTACACATTCTCTTTCTGTTGAACATTTGACTGATGTTTTTTTGTGTTTTTATTTTATTTTTCCTGGAAGAGAGGAATTGTAAATGTGTTGTCCTACTAAAAGTTAATTTTAAGACTTCAGTTTTAATTTCATAGACTTAACAGAGAGATTCATTTAATTTAATTTAATCTTATTTAATTTTATTATATTTTATTTTAAATGTTAATCAAATTAAAATGAACTAAGATAAAATAAAATGAATTAAAATTAAATAAGATAAAATTAAATTAAAATTGTATTATTTTATTTTATTTTATTTATTTTATTTTAAAGGTTAGTAAAATCCCCTAGTAAAAAGTAGAGGATTTAGTTCTTACTAAATCCTCTCGTTCTTGTTTCTGGTCCTCATTCATTTCTGCTTCTCTTTCTTTTGTCAGAGATATTAAACCAGAGAACGTTCTGATCGACCGGACGGGTCACATTAAACTGGTCGACTTTGGATCGGCAGCCAGACTGACTTCTAACAGAACGGTAATGAGTGTGAAGACGTCATTCTGATGTCAACTTATTCAGAGAGCAGCCTTTCGATCTGTTCAGGAAGGACCAATCATGTTTGATATCAGTTGAATATGTTTAAATGTGGTGTTAATGGACTATGTTACACATCCACTTTAAACAGTCAGAGTTTGGACACAGATTAATTGAATGGTGTGGTGTTATCTGGGGCAGGTCACATGCTCCAAACTCCCGGTGGGCACTCAAGACTTCCTGGCCCCTGAGATCCTGTCCACGCTCAGTGGAGGGCCGACGTGCAGCTACGGCCCCGAGAGCGACTGGTGGTCCCTGGGCATCATCGCTTATGAAATGATCTACATGAAATCGCCCTTCGCTGACAGCACGTCCACAAAAACCATCAACAACATCATGAACTTTCAGGTGAATCTAGCAGCTTCTGCTGAGGGTGTGATGTTTGGAAGTTCAGTCTGAATTACACTATTTGTCTTCCAAGATAATAGTTGCTTTAATGAGTAGGTTCAAAACACGGATTCACTGATTAGTTTGCATTCCAGAATTTTTCATTTTGATTTTACAAGTTGTTTAGTAAAAATATGTGGTTTTATAATGCATATATGTATAATGCATGATTCCATAAGATTTTTCTTTTTATTCAATGATAAACAATGTGAAATCATGCCAGCATTATGTTTAACTTTTAATAATTAAATATATATATATATATATATAGCACTGGAAAATCAGTTGATATCATATGACAGCATTTGCAGTCACACTCTGATGACAAACTATGTTTATGGGAAAATAAAAAGCCATCATATGTTTATTAATGCATTAACTTACACACACACACACACACAGACACACACACACTCGTGATCCTCTGGGGGGCAGCGGGTGGATTTCTGTGGAATTAGTCAGATTATGGTGTGCAGGAGTTCTCTCAGAGAGAAGGGCTCAGATAGTCACACAGCCAAATCCTAATGAGATAACACCACATGAGCACACACACACGCTCTCACACACTCACTCTCACACACACACACACTCACACACTCTCTCACACACACACACACACACACACACACACACACTGATGTGTCCTCACATCCTCAGTGAGGATGTTCAGTCCGTGATTCAGAACAATGACTCTTGTGTTTGATTCAGACTGATTCATCATCTGTTTGACTGATTTATTAAAGAACTAGGCCTATGCTGACTGATGTGTTTATGAACAGAATGGCGTTTTGCATTGTATAGCCTATTGTTTTTTTTGCACTCAGCAAAGTAGGGGTGTAAGAAAATATCGATACACGTGAGTATTGTGATATTTTGTTTGGCGATACTGTATTGATTCTCAAACGCAATATCGATATTTAAAAAAAAATCATACAAGATTCATGGCAGTTGTTTTGTTTTGAGTTTATATCCCAACAGCTAGATAGCAGTCGTCTTATTTCTGAACTCGGTGTACAAAGCTGAAGTGTGGCATTATTTCGGCTTTTGTGGTAATGTCTGCCCCGGGACCAGAGGTTGCGTTAACCGAAAATGTTCTGTCAATGACGGAATTTTTTTTAGCAGTGATGAAAAAATCTGAAGGCCATCCGTAACTTTGACCGATTACACTGAGGGTGAGCTATTGTAATTTATAACTCTAATTCTCACCCCTGTCCAGTGTGGCAGCAGAGCGCGGGGTCATCAGCCTCCAGATCAAAAATAAAACTGTCACCAGTCTTTTGCTATGCCTTTGATTATGTACAGGTGAGTACCCACTAGTAAAGCAAAAGAGATGATCAGTTCATGTGCGCTGCCACTTCGCTTGATCTGAGGTGTCTACAGCGATCCATCACGCCACATATGCACACAGAATTTAAAATCTAAGACTGTTTAATATCAAAAGTAACAACGCACAGAGCTTAGCCCATTGCGATTTACTAGATGGGAGACGCACTGTATGTACTGTTCATTCATCAACTAAAAACAGAATCGATTGGGATTTAAGAATCGATATTGGTTCATAAAAATTAGAATCTATTAAAATCGATTTTTTTATTTTTTTTTACCCAGCCCTAGCATTTGTTTTGTTGTTTTTAGTGGCCTCCGCTGTCACTGCGGGTTTTGATGTTGAACATGAAAAGTGAAGCACAGTCTCTGTTCATCTGTTCTCTACTTAAATGCATAAGCCTATATGCTCGTCCTGTAGGTTCATTATTAAAAATGAAAATGTGAGAATGTTTTGTGCAGTTGGGGCGGTGTTCGTGTTGTGATCTCGGCGATTCCATGCGGAACATAAATACAAACTGAAAAACCTGTGAAATCCAAGTTAAAATGTTCTGAGAATGTTCAACATCTTTATATATTTTATATCTTTATATATTTATATATGTTTTGCTTTCTTTAGGAATCCTGCAAGCACTTTACTTTTCATTGGTATTAAGCAGATGTGTCTGTCTTTTGTTCAGATCAAAATGTTATGACATTTGTAATCTTAACCTGTGAACCTTTTAAAGCAGGGTCAAAAATATATATGGTCTGTTTATAACTAAAGAATCCTGCAAGCACTTTACTTTTCATTGGTATTAAGCAGATGTGTCTGTCTTTTGTTCAGATCAAAATGTTATGACATTTGTAATCTTAACCTGTGAACCTTTTAAAGCAGGGTCAAAAATATATATGGTCTGTTTATAACTAAAGAATCCTGCAAGCACTTTACTTTTCATTGGTATTAAGCAGATGTGTCTGTCTTTTGTTCAGATCAAAATGTTATGACATTTGTAATCTTAACCTGTGAACCTTTTAAAGCAGGGTCAAAAATATATATGGTCTGTTTATAAAAGCTTACATTTTATACATTTAACTAAAGAATCCTGCAAGCACTTTAATTTTCCCCCCTTTACTCGTACTGCACAAAAAGTGGTTCAATAACGTTGAATGTTACAGGGACTGATTAATGCAAATGCAGATCCCACTGTGTTCTGGTTAAATTTATTTATTTATTTTTTTGCTAAGATTTGCATATGGTGGTGTGTTCTTAATAACAGCTTTCCTAAAATCATATCCTATTCCTAAAATAAGAAATATCCCAATATATCGTCTTGCTTACAGTATTGCAATGTATTGCAACATATCGTATCGCAACCACTGTATCGTCGTGATACAGATGTGGCCTTTAAAAATGCGATCCACAGGGAAAGGGATCCCATGACCTGCCCCGCAGCAAGACGCGGCCCGTTGTGAAGTTCTCTGGCACATGAAGTACATTACCAGTAGGGGGCAGTCGTGTTTCATTCTCAGTAGAGCCCTGCATTTCAGCCCGGGCTGGCGGGCCCTGACTTTTTTACGCCCCTCGGGGCCAGGCTTCGGGCCAATTTTCACGTCATAGTTCAGATGCGGGCCGGGCCTCGGGAATGTTTTAGGCTTCTCCTTATTTTTATATTTTAGACATACATCAGTTAGTGATGAAAAAAATTGCCGTGCTGGTGGAATCCACATGAGACCGTGCTACTGCAACAATTACCTTAAATGTGTCAGGGGGAAATAGTAAGTAGATATTTGAATTATTTACTAATAAACTAGTGTTTTCTGAGTCTGTGTCGCAAGGATGAAGCTGTCGATCCTGACTCGCCATCTCTTCAGACGCGCCTTTAGAGAGAAGTGCATCTTTACGGATTATGATTATAATGAAAGAGTTTTTGTTTTTGATTTGTTTTATTACGTTTAGTAATTTAAAGCTTTCTATAGATATATTTATCAAGTCTGTGAGGCATGTATTCGCTGAGTTTCGGGCCGGTTCATTTTTGTGAAGCGCTCCTGTTCAAGACGAGACGGCAGAAAGCGCATCATGTTTGTTTTCTTAATTTTATAAAAGCATGTTTTGTTGATATTGTGAGTGCACACAAATAAAAGTAGACCCTTTACAGTTCCGAATTATGTATTACTCTTACCTTTATGAGCAAAAATGACGTTTTATATGAATGTATCTCTGAAGGGAACCGACTGTCTTCAGAATAGTTTAGATGGCATTTTTATCTGATAAAGTAGCGTTCATGAGCGGAGCTGCTTTGTTTACAGCCATTACTGGAGAAACCGCTAGTTCCACTGCTCTCACAGCGCCTCCTGCTGGCAGACAAGCAGTTTGCATTTTCAATAATAAACCCATTTCCAGCAACTTTTCTGAAGCACTTCTGAAGCAACTCGGAGCATGTTTCATACTCGTTATCCTGGTTAATGCACGTTTCAATCTATGAGAATAATCAGCCTACACTACCAGTCAAAGATTTTTGAACTGCAAGATTTTTAATGTTTCTTAAAGAATTATCTTCTGCTCACCAAGCCTGCATTTATTTGATCCAAAATGCACCAAAAGCAGTAACATTTTGAAATATTTTTACTATTTAAAATAACTGCTTTCTATTTGAATATATTTTAAAATGTAATTTATTCATGTGATCAAAGCTATGTTTATAACTAAAGAATCCTGCAAGCACTTTAATTTTCCCCCCTTTACTCGTACTGCACAAAAAGTGGTTCAATAACGTTGAATGTTACAGGGACTGATTAATGCAAATGCAGATCCCACTGTGTTCTGGTTAAATTTATTTATTTATTTTTTTGCTAAGATTTGCATATGGTGGTGTGTTCTTAATAACAGCTTTCCTAAAATCATATCCTATTCCTAAAATAAGAAATATCCCAATATATCGTCTTGCTTACAGTATTGCAATGTATTGCAACATATCGTATCGCAACCACTGTATCGTCGTGATACAGATGTGGCCTTTAAAAATGCGATCCACAGGGAAAGGGATCCCATGACCTGCCCCGCAGCAAGACGCGGCCCGTTGTGAAGTTCTCTGGCACATGAAGTACATTACCAGTAGGGGGCAGTCGTGTTTCATTCTCAGTAGAGCCCTGCATTTCAGCCCGGGCTGGCGGGCCCTGACTTTTTTACGCCCCTCGGGGCCAGGCTTCGGGCCAATTTTCACGTCATAGTTCAGATGCGGGCCGGGCCTCGGGAATGTTTTAGGCTTCTCCTTATTTTTATATTTTAGACATACATCAGTTAGTGATGAAAAAAATTGCCGTGCTGGTGGAATCCACATGAGACCGTGCTACTGCAACAATTACCTTAAATGTGTCAGGGGGAAATAGTAAGTAGATATTTGAATTATTTACTAATAAACTAGTGTTTTCTGAGTCTGTGTCGCAAGGATGAAGCTGTCGATCCTGACTCGCCATCTCTTCAGACGCGCCTTTAGAGAGAAGTGCATCTTTACGGATTATGATTATAATGAAAGAGTTTTTGTTTTTGATTTGTTTTATTACGTTTAGTAATTTAAAGCTTTCTATAGATATATTTATCAAGTCTGTGAGGCATGTATTCGCTGAGTTTCGGGCCGGTTCATTTTTGTGAAGCGCTCCTGTTCAAGACGAGACGGCAGAAAGCGCATCATGTTTGTTTTCTTAATTTTATAAAAGCATGTTTTGTTGATATTGTGAGTGCACACAAATAAAAGTAGACCCTTTACAGTTCCGAATTATGTATTACTCTTACCTTTATGAGCAAAAATGACGTTTTATATGAATGTATCTCTGAAGGGAACCGACTGTCTTCAGAATAGTTTAGATGGCATTTTTATCTGATAAAGTACCGTTCATGAGCGGAGCTGCTTTGTTTACAGCCATTACTGGAGAAACCGCTAGTTCCACTGCTCTCACAGCGCCTCCTGCTGGCAGACAAGCAGTTTGCATTTTCAATAATAAACCCATTTCCAGCAACTTTTCTGAAGCACTTCTGAAGCAACTCGGAGCATGTTTCATACTCGTTATCCTGGTTAATGCACGTTGTTTTAAATTGATCAAAAGTGATGATAAAGACATTTATAATGTTACAAAAGAATGTAATGTTATGTAAAGAATGTTATTTTAAATGGTAAAAATATTTCAAAATGTTACAGTTTTTGCTGTATTTTGGATCAAATAAATGCAGGCAGAAGAGAATTCTTTAAAAAACATTAAAAATCTTAGTTCAAAAACTTTTGACTGGTATGTTTGCCTATAGTTGGAAGTAAAAAATATTAATATTAATAAGGAGAGTCTGAGATTTATTTGACAGTGATTTCACATTTCTTGTTTGTATGAAGGCTAAATACCAATAAAAGGTGAACATTTATTTATTTGCGCCATTTTTTTCCTAAAATATTATATAGTTTTATAGGAGTAGGTTTCATAGAGTTGGCAAATTAATTTTTCATAAGTTTGTAGGTACAGACTGTTGTGGCCGTTTTTGAGGCTTTTTTAATAGTGTTCATATCGATATCGACCGAAATTAAGAAATATAGCGTGATATAAATTTTGGCCATATCGTCCAGCCCTATTGTACACAACATTCTTAATGTTTGAACAACTACAAAAGATATTACTTAAAAAAAAAACTTTTTTTTTAAAATTTGCCTGTTGAAAATCATTATACGTCATGTATATGTATATATGTATGTGTTTGTGTATGTGTATATATACATAATTATTATGTATATAATTATTATACAAAAATTATTAAAAATGCTAAAAAATAATTGTATGCAGTAAAACTTTTTTGTTAAACTGTTTTTAATCATTTGGTGTAGCATCTAAAACATACTTTACCTTATATAAATGTAAATGTTTTGACTTGAAATATTCATGTTGACAACAAAAAACTGCGCTATTTATTTGCAATCATCTTGCTCTCTAGATACATTTTGATCACTTATAAAATTCATATTGTTTGGCTGCTACCACATGAAAAATATCGCTAAAAATAAAGACAGTTGTTATTTCTGTGCATCTGATGTGATTATGGCTGACTGTATGTTGAATTGACCTGCAGCTCAAAGGCTTGTTATTGCAATCATAATGTCATTTTGTCAGTTTCCTGAGATAAATCGAGATGATTAAAATATTCAGATGAGCTGATGAACCGCTCTGAGTGTGTGCTGAAATCATCACGTGGCTCATGCAGTCGATGTGCTCGTGCCACTGATGTAGTGTTTGTTAGATCCTTCTGTGATTTGTTGTTGTTGTTTTGATGTTTTTTAGGTAAATAAACCAATTGTGTAAATGTTTGAACAAAAACCCCCCAGTGGCAGATACTATGTGTGTGTGTGTGTGTGTGTGTGTGTGTCAATACAGCTGTTTGTGCAGATGCAGCTTTGTGTGTGTGTGTGTGTGTGCGCGAATCTCGCATCGGGTTTTGGCTGTGACTCACGCTGATTAGCTGAGACTGCTGCAGTGAGAGAGAGAGAGAGAAGGGGCGAGCGAGTTATTGCGCTACAGTCTCATCACTGAGACCCCCTTCTCTCTCTCTCTCTCTCTCTCTCTCTCTCTCTCTCTCTCTCTCTCTCTCTCTCTCCACTCTGTTCTTCTTCCCGCCCC